CTCTGCTGCAAATTGAAAACATATTGATTCTCCTCATGCTTCCAGGGAGAGGGGGCGAGAGACAGAGGGAGAGAAGGAGAAAGACAGGAGCAAAGAGAGAGAGAGAGAGAGAGAGAGAGAGAGAGAGAGAGAGAGAGAGAGAGATGGGTGAGGAAGAGAAAGAAGAGGATGAAATGTGGTGAAGGAACAGAGAGGGCAAGACAGTTGCCTGATGCCACTAGCAACTTGTGTGTATGTCTGGCCTCTGTCTCATGGACACACATACATGCATTGATTCACATATTAAGACAACATCCCATGGGTTGAGGGCTCTATTGTCACCATGGCAACGGGGTCAGGGCAAGCAGCCGTACGTATTTGCATGTGTGCGCGTCCTCTACATGTGAGCGCATGCTGTCATGTCCAGCTGTAGCGGGGAGAGGCCGCAGGATGCCGATGAGAGAGGACAGCGCATAACACGTACAGATGTGCTGACTGCACAGTTTCCATGGGAACAAGCCCCCCTCCCCTCCCACCACCACCACCACCACCACCAACCAACATATCCCTCCTCCTTCCATCGCTCCTCATTGCTCTTGCAAAAGCTTGACAAGCTCTTCTAATGCTTCTCGCTTCGTCTTTATGTGTGTCCATTCGTTCCTGGTAGAGCTCTCACATCGGCTACGGCTCAATCCGTCTTGTTCGGGGTGCGCGCGCGTGTGTGAGTGTGTGCGCGTGGATGTTAGTAGGTGTGACATGCTTGTCTCATTTTTTAATCAAGGATGAGGGTGAAGACAGGAGAGTGTGAAGGAGGTGGTGGATATTATCAAACAGAGTGGCTCCCTGTCCACAGGAACAACACAAACACACACATCGTCCGTGTGCACAATCACAGGCACTGCTGGCGCCCTGTTGACGAGAACTGATTTATGGTATATGTGTGCGTTATAACTACTGGAGCTGATGATGAATGATATTTTCGTCTTGTCCGCTGTATAAGAGCTGCCATCATATGGTTGTCTCCTGCCACTGCATGTATAATAAGTGTGTTGATGCTGGGGTATGTATGCAGCGCAGTGTGTGTGCAAATGACACGCTTCACAGAGCAGTTTAGTATAACTGCCTGTGTCTATCCATCTATATGTATCGCACACTCAGGTGACCTTCTCCGGTCTTAGAAAAGTTTGGTTGTATTTTGAACTGTTGTCCCACAAAACTGTTGATTAACTTTCACAAAACTCCAATCTAGTGTAAGGCTTGATAAAAACATATCTTAAGTGTCATTTCCGTCCATAAAAAAGTAAAATGAAGATGCAAACATGTTCCAAGGTGATTTCAAGTCATTTCTTAGACTGTCTTTTCATTCAAACGTAATTTAAATCCTGTCCGCTGTGAAATCCAATTACAGAAATAAATTTTAAGCAAGTTATATGAGCATAAACTCAATCATCTCATCAGCCTTTTCTTGTGTAAGTTGTAATTTTCTGCTACAGCAGGGCGCTTGCGTTGGTAAAGCGGAACACTTCAAGCATTACAAACCTTAAATATTTATTAAGATATATCTGTTCAATTCAGATTTCGTCCATGTATATATTTATACAGCTGCGTTATTCGGTAGTCAAGTAAAATAAAATCAATTCATTGTCAACATAGCTAAAGCCGGAATATTACTGTTTGATTAAGAATAGTTTGGACAGGGATGTCTTTCCCTAATACTATAGATCTGAACAGCGCTCCTTCTCAGTTTGCTCTGGTGCTCTTATAGCTCCGGCAGATTTTTGCCCTCCTGCTTTTACCTTCTCTCCCTGGCTTATTCTTTATGTGAGGAAAGGTGACAAACAGAAAGCCACTGTTGAAAAAAAAAATCTCATATTAAATGTCAACTAGAGTTTACCTCTCAAGTCAGCTGGAACAAGAAGATCAAGAAGCTGGACACTATCAGACACTATGTTTGCTGAAGCATGGTGGTGGCAGCATCATCATGTAACAATGATTCACGGCAGCAGGCCCTGAAAGACGTGAAAGGTTTTTTTTTCTTAATTCTTATCAAAAATGGACAAACCAGCCCAGCCCCCCCCCAATCTACCTCACATCCACCTACGGTGAACTCTATTTAAATGTGCAATATCATCAATGACCATGCTGTGCAATATTTTTCTATATTCATACTGTACATATACCTTATACTGTATATATAAAACTTATCTTATTTTATATTTAAATCTCTTCTATTTTTATTTTTTGCTCTTTATTTTGTTCTTTATTCTATGTTGCACTGAAGGAGCTGCTCTTAATCTCATTGTACATGTGTATAGTGACAATAAAGGCATTCTATTGTATTCTATTCTACTATTTTGATCATGATTTGATATTTTAAAAGCAATAAAAGTGGAAAATCTGAAAGGGGATGATTAGTTTTTCATATTTAAGGTGTCTCTGGAGCTGGAGCTACACGTCTCTGATCTGCCGTCGCTGACCTCACTGACCTCTAAAATGTTCAGTATTCTGTTTGTACTGTTTGTTCTCCATCTGCTCTCCTGCTACCCCCCTCCTCATCCCCACTCTCACCCCAACCAGTCGAGGCAGATGGGTGCCTTCCCTGAATCTGGTTTTGTCAGGCTTTCTCTTTCCTCCCCATTAAAGGGTTTTTTTTGTTTGTTTGTTTCCTTCTCACCATCGCTGACTGCTTGCTCATAGGTAATCCAAAAGAACTTTGGATTGTTGGGTTCTCTGTTTAAAATTCTTCCTCTTACTGTGTGAAGTGCTATGAGACGACATATGTTGTGAATTGGTGCTATATGAATAAAACTGAATTGAATTAAAGTATTAAAATACAAACTGCTTTCAGGTTTACTGATTTCTTGATGTGGAGCAGACGTTCACAGGGGCAAGAAATGCAAGATGCTTAAAAGATGAGATTTTAGAAAATTTGAAATTCAGCACATTAAAGATTTAACCAGTGGTTTCCAAGCTTCTGGCCTCTGATGTCTTACAAAAAGCCGTGTGTAGCTGGGCTTACTATTCAGGTGTTTATGAATTGTTAAACGTCGGCTTCACTGCCCTCTTGCCCTCTAAACTTCTCACATGGTTTCTTGTCAATAAATGCTCAAGTGATCCAATAACTCAACAGCATTTTTTTTTTTAAAAGTTGCTGTTTTTTCTGCTTTCCTCTGACATTGATTATGTGACAAGCCCTTAGATTCACCTGCTGTCCTTCCCTCCTCCCTTTATATAAAACTGGATATAAAGTAGCTACAACAATAACATACTGTCAACACTCTGGTGCTTCAATATTAGTCATCTATAATTATCCTACATAATAATATGTTAGAGACAGTGAACAAACTCGTACCTTTATTTAAACACTTTAACTACATTTTGTTGCTACATTGCTCGTGCTTATGTACTTCTCCTTAAGTGAGACATTTCATTCAGGGCCTTTGCTTTTAAGGAAGAATTGTTGCATTGCTGGTTGGGTATTTAAAAAAAAAATAACAAAACAAATATAGGATCCAACTTTCTCCCACAATATAATTCTCTTTAATCTAAAATGTCCCAGAAAGCTGAATCAAGCTGAACCTTCCCAGCTCTTCCACTGCCCTACACTTTGCTGCCCTCTAGTTGATCAGTGTCCAATCATCACAGCACAATACTGAGCAGTCAAACGTTGATATTTTAAAGACAACAACAAACAAACAAATAAAAAAAATGCTTGGCAGTTATGGCTTTTGACCTTGTGTGGAAAAAAAAAGTATGACTAAAATTAATAGTAATAATAATAATATGAAGAAGGAAAAAAGAAAGAAAGAAAGAAAGAAAAAGACATGTTGTTGTTATTATTATATTTATGATAAAACAACTTTAGAAAGTCTGCTAATTGATGATGCTAGTGTAAATTTACCCCAAAGATTTATTGACAGTTTACTAAATCTACTATATGCTTTGAACTTGCACAGCCGAGCATCAAGTAGGGTATTTTTTTTGCATTTTATACTACTTTATATTTCATAAGGAGTGCTACCAACCTCCGCAGAAAGTTTGAGATAACGACCAAAATACGTGGAGTTTCACTGAAGACGAATTTTACAGATGCTGATTTACGACAGTTTCACAAACACACACACGTCACACTTTACGGTAGACTGAGCAAAGGCAGGAAGCTGTCAGAAGGTAAGTTACCGAAACAAAAGTACTCTTAGTAGGTCCTGCTTTCCCCACTTATACTAAACAACCTATAACACGGTTTTGGTTGATTTGTCTTGAATCTTTTGTCTGTCGTAAAGTGTTTTAGCCGCCGAACACTAACAGCTAACTGCTGCTAGCGCGCTCACATGCTAGCTGGTGGCTCAAGTCACCAGTCAAGCGCTCAGTGTAGGAGTTGGTGCAAATGAAAATGAAGGGAAAAAAAGATATGAGTTTAATCCTGTGATGCACAACGTGGGTCAAAAGTAAAACGTTTCATTTTAGTCAAAGTGTTGATAATTTTAGATTTTTTTTGCAAAGAGTAAAAAGGTTAGATTTTGTTTAGCCACTTCCTGTTTATCAAGGTACACAGGTGATAACTTAAATGTTAACACAACAATAAATACAAATGAGTAAATTTAACCACATGAATAAAAGTAAGCAAAGATTATCTCACCTCGATACACGTTAAATAAATACGACGAGCTGCACCAGAGCCAAGCTTGTGCACCAGGCTGAGGTGGAGGTCCTGAATGACTGACTAGGACCAGAACCTAAAGCTGTTCACCTCAACGTCCAGTCCGTCAGCCCTCCGGAGCAGGTCATCAGGAGTGGGTTGTCACTCACAAAGTAATGATAAATAAAAGTTTGTTAAATTATAATTTAGTCAAATGAAACGTTGCTTTTGAATTGTGGTTGAAAACAATAATGAAAAGAAAAACACATAAAAAAAAAACAACAAAAAAACTGTCCCAGACAAATGAGAGCACTTTGCTGATGAGCAGTGGTCCAGAATACCTGTCAACAGGTGCAGAAGTCTGATTGAGAGTTACAGGAAACACCTGATGGCAGTGATTGGCTGAAAGGGTTGTTCAGCTAAATATTAGTTCATGGGTCCCATCATGCTTGCTTGCTTTTGTTTTTGTTTTTAGTATTTCTATTGCACCACTATTCAAAAGGAATGTCATGAGTTTCATTAAATTTATTATTACTTTTGTCAATTTCAACTTATTTCAGTGACAGCTGTTTTTTTTCCTTCTTTAATGGGAGGATATGAATACATATGAGGACGACTGTATCAACAAGCTTCTTTAAGACTACACCTGTATACCTGTCCTACACAGCAGACTACAATGAATGCAAAAAAAATGATATTGCCATTATTCTTTAGGCTACTGTGATATGAGTAATTTCTGAATTACAGAGCATACAAAAACGATAATGTCATTTTTGCTGTGGTCTGTACCAAACAAGCATGTTTCCTTATATCTGTATGCGTCTGTATCCATGCTTGGGTCTGCTGACTAACCAGTGTGTGTGTTACTGGCTTAGGCAATGCGCATTGGACTGCCCAGTGCAGAGACGCTGCAAGGTGGATCCTTCAAATCTTTGATTTTGGTGAGTGTGCAGATGCCTCTAACGCAGCTTGGATGGTTTGTTCGTGTTTGTTAAATTCTAGGCCCTTGCTTTGCTGCAATTGTTGGTTGGGTTTAATCTTGTCCCGTGGTTTCTCGTCCCAGACAGTACTCCTGAGTGTGTTTATGTTCCAAGTGCTGAGGACTGTTGGACTGAGGGCGTTCTCCATGGCATCTGAGACGTACACGTCGGGCACACACTCTGCCGCTTTTGTCACCTGTCCTAATGACACAGTGGCCAAAGACTTGGCCAGGTGCTTTAATCAGCAACATCGTTATGCTCTTTCTGCCATTTTCTTGTCTTTTAAACATAATTATAGAATAATGCACAAAGTAAAAGTTCTGAAAGATTGATCTTGATGTCTTTTGCCCTCACTAGGTGGACATAATTAAAATGCTTGATTGGAAATAATTTGAATTCAACATCATAGCAGATGTTTTAGGTGTCCTCAGTTGTGTTTGATTCCTTTTGTTCTTCTATCTCACAGGGGTATTGTGGAAAGGAAGTTAGCTGCTTGTGTTAACATCATCCCAGCAATTAAATCCATGTAAGTTCTGAGATGGCCAGTTTAATGTTAAACCAGATTGTGCCGGCGATTTCAGTACGCACAGGCTGTTTTTGGTTAAAGGCATTTTAACTACAGGATTTGAAATACTCGACCTTATACCTGAAATCGATTTGTTTTCAGATATGAATGGCAGGGGAAGATTGAGGAGGACAATGAAGTGCTTCTGGTGAGTTCTGACTAATTCTTGTAATTTACACTTTTTTTGAAATGCAGCTAAATTGTATTCCTACAAGTCAGGTGCAGGTACGATCACTGCTGCGATTATTTCTAATACTTACTTTATATAATTACTATATTTGCCGTTACATTGACTATATCTGCAGTACCATTTTATTTTAAATGACTAAAACTGGATTTTTCCCATCAGTCTACAGTTTATAATATGCAATGAATAAGTAAAAACATGCTTTTAGATTTATTTTGCAAATGAAATAAAAATCAAAAACTGAGATCTGCTATTTAAAAGGTATCCAGACCCTTCACTGTGACAGTTCATGTTGTGATTGAATGCCTCCTCTTTGCTTTTATAATCCTTGAGAAGTGTCAAGAACTTGAATCGACTCTACTTTTGGCAAACTGATTGGACGTAGTTCTGAAAGGCACACACGAGTGAAGACAAAATCGAAGCCATGAAGTCCAAGAACCTCTGGGATCAAATCCTGGTGAAGCATGGATCATTGGTATGCAACCGTCTCTAAAGCTTTGAGTGTTTGGAACCACCAGGAACCTCCATAGAGTTGGCCATCCGGTACAACTGCTCAAGAAAATAGATCCTTGGTCAACAAAATAATGCAGCAGTCTCTCTAACAGAGGTTCAGAAGTCCCCCCTGCAAAGAAGGTAAAACCTGCTGGAACACTTCATCAATTAGCTCTTTATGGTGAAGAAGCCAGATGGAGTCAATAAATTCTGAGTAAAAGGCATGACAATCCACTTGGAGCTGGAGGGATGAATGCAGCCAAGTAGAGAGGCTCTTGATGGAATCCCGCCCTAGAGTTCATCAACCTGAGCCTGAGGACGTTATTTACCTTTCAGTGCTGCAGTGAACCAAAGCAAACAGCCCAGACAGTCCTGGAGTGGTTCCAGAACAGATCTCTGACTGTCCTTGAGTGGCCCCGCAAAAACCTGGACGCCACGTAACATCTGCGGAGAGACTTGAAGGTGGTAGATCACAGACGCTGCCCATCAACTCTGATTAAGCTGGGGAGGAGGTGTTTGAAGGGGTTGGCTACAAAACGCTGAAATAAGTACTTTTGTAAATGGGAGATCTGAGTACAGTCGTGATAATCTGACCCTTAACAATCTGAAAACCTTGCTATCCGACAGGTTTTTAGAAAAAATGAGCAGAACCCACTAAAAATAGCCTTAACACACCGACAGCCTTGGATTCCGACTCCGCCATGACATTTAATGTCACCAATCAGGATAACGGCGTATTATCTGACTGAACAATCCCACAGATTGGCTACGTTCACACTGCAGGACTTGATGCTCAATTCAGATTTTTTGTGAAATCCAATTTTTTTACAAGTTCGTTCACATTTCCAATTAAATACGACTTGTATGTGATCTGCTGTGTGAACTTCATACGACCCAAAAGTGTCCCGCATGTGCAGAAGAGGACACGACGACGTCACACGCAGCGAGCAGCTCAGTGTTTACGGAAGTAAACACGGATGGTGGCGATGGTGGAAGTACTGCCTGTGCGTTCTGGACACTTCCATCCCGTCGGCGAGCTCCCCCGGGGTGGAAGTGTCCCCTGACCACACCAAATATTCTGATATTCATCATTAATTGGGCCTGAATATCCAGAGACCAGAAAGTGTTATTCAGACCAGCCCTACTAGTTATTATAACAACATGAACAATAAATATTAACAACAAATGAGCCTTCCAGCATCAAGCCCTCCTTGTATCTCGACCTCCGTCTTGACAATCCGACAGCCTTGCTACCCGACATAAAAGAAGGTTTTACATTTAGTGTCGGATTATCGAGTCACGACTGTGTTTGATTTTTCGTAAATTTGCACAAAATTTCTTGTTTTTTGGTATTATGGGTTATTGACTGTGAACTGATGGGAGAAATGCCAGTTGTATTCACTTAAAATCTAATTCAGGACAGAGAGGAGGTGTGAATGCATTCTGAAGCGACTGCTCATCTAGCATGGTGCAGGTTGGGGAACAGTGTTATTAGTTTTTATGAACAAAAAACATCTGGATGTATCAGTTTTCTATAAAAGACCTTTCTCATACACAGTTCCACAGGTTTAGACGTAACAGACTTGTGACTACAAATGATCTGAGCCTAAAAATAAGACTATAGAAGGCCTACAGTTTTTATAGCTGATCTATCATGACGTGTAAATAGAACTGTGTAAAGCGATGAGCTGTCGGTGGAGAACCTGGCGTCTCGCCTCTTTATTTACTCGCTGTTGAATGAGTCAGCACTGAAGCACACATTCTCAGCAGTGAGTGGGGGTTTCAGTATGCAGCGTGTACACACGGACCGTCATCAAACTTGGAATTGATTATTGATATTATAAGTCTTAAATGTGCCTGGAGAGACAGAAATTATTGGCAGCCCTGCGCTTTGTGGAGCGTAATGTTCCGCAGTGGTGCATTAGTGATGTCAGGGGCTGATTATTTGGGTTTGGAAACATCAAAAGCTTTCAAATCCTCCTATCACCTTCAAATCTTTGCAGTCGCTGATGACAAATTTCCGGATCAGACCAGCAACATGATACGTCTGCTGAGATCCAAGGAGGTCACAGTGACAGATTATGTAATCGCGGCGCCTTACATCCTTCACTCAGACGCGTCGGACTGTTACGAGCTGTGACCGGCATTAGCTTGCTCTTCGTGGCGTGCATCGCTCGGAAAGGTGATTGAGCAGAAGGGGGGCAGAGACAGACTCGGAGGGTCAGACCTGTCAAAAACCATGAGCGTTCATGTCCTAAACCCAGAATGTGAGTCACCAAGTGTCTGATGAAGTCTCTTTTCATTTAGATGATCAAAACGAGAAGTTCCAAGGTGCCTGCTCTTGCTGAATATGTCCGGTAAGGTTATTTTTAATCTTAAAATACAGCTTGCTTCAACATAAACTCGCAAAAGAACTTCATATTGATCGTTTGCTCCCTTCTCGGCCATCGTTGTCGAAGAGTTGAACACTGACTTGTATATGTTCTGTCTGTGCACTCGGTTGACTCCTGTTGTCTCTCCAGCTCCAACCATCCTTATGAGGTGGCTGAAGTCATCAGTCTGCCGATTGACCAGGGCAACCCGCCCTACCTCAAGTGGATAGGAGACATTGTCCCCGAGTAAGGACGGCCTGACACATGAGCGGACGGTTGAACAGATCGATGGGTGGATGTAAAAATTAATCTGAATTAATGTGAAATGTTTTCAAACCCAGACATATTCTGAACACTGCCATCCAAATCTGTGGTATTATCATTAGTAGCTGCATAAAAGCAGGAACATACAAGGTTCCCATTGTCTAACTTTTTTTTTAAATGAATAAAAAAACACATTTTCTAAAGAATGCTCCCTTTTCGCCCTGATTTCAGCCTTGTAAATACATGATGTCTCCCCTGTGGCATGTGTACCTCTAGAGGGCAGCGTTGGTCTGTCGTTTTCCAGCTTGATAAGCTGCTTCAGACTTGTTTGAACCTCAAAGTGTCAAAAGTGAACAAACAACATCAGCAGGCTGCAGTTTGAAATAAGGCAGAGGACTGGTTTTCATTGGTTTCAAGTGTTTCTTAGTGAACATGTGACAACAGTTACATTCATGTACACATCACATACTTGAGTATGATGCAGTAGTTCAGCTGACAGGACTGCATACAACACGAGGTTTTATTTACTGACCAATATCACCTGTAAACATTTATTTAGCCCACTGCCACCACATGACACTCGGCTTTAGTGCTTCACTAAAGCTCCGACAACATGGCTGATAATACAACATTGTAATACTGAGAAGATAAACAGTTATGTAGCACGGTGGTCTTGTCATATAGCTCGCCAATCAGGGCTTCCACCTAAATCTATACGCCTTTAAATACATAGAATTTACAATACATTACAGAACATACCTCTACGAGTTTAACCATCACAACTGATCCGGTTTCTTTACATTGCCTGCACCAGCATGTTCAGTCTGTTCAAAACTAGTGATGACTAATAATCAGTTTATTTACAGTGTCTCAAAATTTAAACATCAGTTCTTCTCTTCATCTAATGTTCCTTTTAATGTGTGTGTGAGGATATTTGATTGGAAATTAGAGGGAAAAAGACTTACAGAAACAAACATACTTTCTCAAATCCAGTTTAGACTCACTGAACATTTAAAGCTGAATACAAACACAAAGAAAACAGAGACGTTAACTATTTAAACAGTCACTGGCATTATATTGTTGTATTATTGCACATTTGTCACAGGTATGAGCCAAAGCAAGCTGTTACTTCAAAGACCTCCTCTGGTGAAAATCAACTTTTTAACCTTGTTAACCGTGT